AAACTAAGTCAAACCATGCATTACAGTACGGGGCTGATTGTTTATGAATTCATCTAGTTTTTAATTAGTTTTTTTAATTATAGTTATTTTTGAAAAAAGTTAGTATAGTTAGTTGTTAGTAGATATATTAAAATAATAATTAAAATAAAATAATTAAAGCTGATATGATGTAAAAGTAAGAGAAAAATGATTTGAGGTGATAGTTAGTTAAAATTATGTGAGTAGATGAATAGTTAATTAAAGTTGATGTGATGTTAAGAATGATTGGTTGGATGATTGGTTAGTATTATTTAATTATATTGATAATATTGGAGATAGTTGGTTGAGTTAAAGTTGAGTTAAATTTGAGTTTTGATTTATTTTTATTTTTATTTTATTTTTTTTTGCAGTGGATTGATAAACAATCACACCCTTAGTTTTTTTTTTCACTAAATTTCGTTTTTCATTTTTATGCGGTTGGAATATTTTGCACTAAAATAGGTTAATTGAAGTTCATCAAATTGCCAAATTCAACTCGATTTGTTAGGGTGTGATTGTTTATGAATTCAATTAGTTTTTATTTGATTTTCTTAAATTATAGTTACTTTTGAAAAAAAAAATTGTATGGTTAGTTGTTAGTGGATATATTAGAATAATATTTAAATATGATAATTAAAGTTAATTTGATGTAAAGTATGAAAAAAATGACTGGAATTGATAGTTAGTTAAAATTTGTGAGTGAATGAATAGTGAATTAAAGTTGATGTGATGTGTAAGAATAATTGGTTGATATTATTTAATTATATTTATAATATAAGAGATAGTAAGGTTGAGTTAGATTTGAGTTTTGATTGATTTTTTTACTATACAGACAATAAACAATCACCCCCTTAGTTTCGTTTCGATTTTGCTTACCCTACTCAGCAAGTTGCACAATTCCACACATTTTTTTTTTTTGGTCCAGATTTTGCTCACCTATTGCACCAAATTGCACGTTTATGCTCAATCTTTTGATTTCAATCCAATTTTGCTTACCCTGGAAACCAAAATGCACTATTCGATTCACTCAATTACACATGGCCATCCAGGCCTGGTCTAGCCCGACAAGTCTCTGGGTTGAAAACACCGACCCTTATCTAGGCTCGGGCCGGGTATACGATCCAGTAGGTTGGGCCGAGCCCGACACAGGTCTGAGATACATCCAGAAAAACAAATTGAAAACAAAATCTACCTTTAATTTCCGAACCAGCCCCGTTAGGGTCAGAGCCAAAAAAGAGCATGACCCTAAATCGCTACAGTTGAAATCCAGTTTGGGCTCGAACCTACGGTCAATGGGCTTGACCGGTCCGAGTCTGTGCCTGGAATGGGTGGCCTGTGCCACCTCAATATCCAATGTCTAGACTCTAGACTAAGACAAGCATATTTTGGGAAGTGGATTTTCCAAAGAATAATTCCTTGAGGGGCAAATTGGTACAACCACACTCTTCTTTCATCTCCCGTGTCCCAATTCCCCACTTTATCCCTTTTTCTACATCTCTATAAACAACAAGTGTAATAAATAAGGGAAATGCAGAGGTCCCGTTACGGAACCATCCAGTCGGATTTGTAATCGTTAGATCATCTAGTAATCGTTGGAGATAGTTGATCTAAAGGTTACAAATTTCAACGGAATGGTCCCGCAACGAGACTGTAGCATCTCCCAATAAATAAATAAGACCTAAAAACCGTAATAAATAAATATGCCCAAAATTTGAGTTGTGAACCGAACGTTCGTGAACAAAAATTCATAGAGTTAGACAAAAATTTATTCATTTCTGGTGTAGAATAATAATAATATTATTATTGTTATTATTATTATTATTATTATTATTATTATTATTATTATTATTATTATTATTAGTTATCTTGGAGAATAAGTTAGGTTTTAGATATTATTATAAGATCTTGTCTTGTTGGACAAGTTAGGAATAGGGTTTATGAGTCTTATATAAAGGACTCCCCTCTTTTGTTATCTCAAGTTGATTTTGAATAAAAATATGAATTGATTGTGAGTTATATCGAGAGAGTATCTCGTTTTACGTGTTTTACGAGAGAGTATCTCGTTTACTCCTTGTATCTTCCCGTTCGTTCACGCATTCCCTACATCAGTAGCTCTAATACCAACTGATGTAGAGCGTAGTACAACTGGGAAGAAGATGAGATTCTCTCTCGAAGAACACACAGAAATTTTATTCAATCGTCATAAATTGTGTTTCTCCTCATCCAAATAACATATAAATAGAAAAGATAAAATAAAGATTCCTAAACTTGCCCCACAATTGCAAGTTAATTATTTTCCTACCCCAAAATATTACTTACTAAAGGAAATAAAATAAAAGAGCACGAATAATTACGAGTCCATAAAAAGGTCGACTAAACACGAAGACGGTCATATTTATTCAAGAACGCAATAGCGGTCTCGTCTTCATCAATTTCTTATTCGAACAAAAAATTAAACTGGTTTAATAACCAAATGAATACAAACTTGTTTGCGAACGTCGATAATGCTCGCAAACATCAATTTAATATAATTTAATATATTTTAATATTTACATGATATTCTTAATAAAATCTAAATTATCTTATTCGAACGTAAACAAACACAAATATAAATGCCAAAATTCTACTAAGTATGTTGAATTACAACACTACCCAAAACCCTTTCTTCAACAAGTTTAAGCAAAACCCTTCTTCAACAAGCTTCTCCTTACGCATATATTGTAACGATTGCCTATATATAACCACACAGTAGCACAAACACTCAGGCGCGAAGGCATATCCATACACCTAATTGTGGCCGAATTTGTACTTCTCCTCGAGCAGAAAGCATCTGAAACGAGAAGAAAAAATGGCGATTACGGCAGAGGATCGGTCGGAGATAGCTTTCTTCGACGTGGAGACGACGGTGCCGACCCGAACGGGTCAGGGTTTCGCGATTTTGGAGTTCGGGGCCATTCTTGTTTGCCCCAGAAAGCTCGTGGAGCTCCGGAGCTACTCAACCTTGGTCCGGCCTGCGGACCTCGCCCACATCACCTCTCTCTCCGTCCGGTGCAATGGGATTACCAGGGACGCCGTCGTTTCTTCGCCCACGTTCGCCGAGATTTCTGATTTGGTCTACGACCTTCTCCATGGTATTTTTTTTTTTTTTAAATTTTTGCACCCCCAATTTTGCATAAAATTTGCTGTGTTTTGTCTTTTGTGGTAGATGATCATCTGTTTGTTTTGAGTGTTTCCCGTGTATGGAGAATGGTGTGTTGAATCTGGGTTTTGTGGTATATGATCATCTGTTTTTTCAGAGTGTTCTCCGGGAATGAAGAATGCTGTGTTGAGTCAGTCAGCTGATTTTGATGATTGTGTGTGGTTAATGTAGAGATTAATAAATCATTTATAAGCTGATTTTGGCGGATTTTGTGAAATTGCTATTTTTGACGCCTTGTTAAAGAACAAAGAAAAAAAAAGAAGGAAATTTTGCCGGATAGTACGTCTGCAGTATCGGAGTTCGTAATGGAATGCATTTACTGAAAAATGTGAAAACTTTGGTACCCTTGTGATAGTTTTGACAAGAACTCATCTTGTGCCGAAAAAATGATTTGTGCAATCGTTTTCTTTTTATCTTTTCCCTCATTGTTGAGTAGTCTAGCCTTTAGTTTGTGATTTGTGATAGTGTTTCTTTTTCGTTATTGATTCAATTGAATTATGACATGATTGTTACATTCTGAGCACAGGAAGAATATGGGCCGGTCATAATATATTGAGATTTGACTGTTACCGTATAAGAGAAGCGTTTGCTGAGATTAACAAGCCTGCTCCAGAGCCTAAAGGAACTATCGACTCTCTAGCACTCTTAACACAAAAGTTTGGAAGAAGGGCTGGTGATATGAAGGTAGAAAACACGTAAATGTTTGGCTTTGGCAAAATAATATTTATTGTTTGCATATATCTTTTTTTCCGCTTTTTGCTTAACTTGGCTTCACGATGGAAGAGAAAAATGAACACTTATATAAGCCAATACCTTTCTTTCTTTCTTCTCTAATTTTTCCTTAATTGTCCTGATTGATTGAGCCTTCTGCAATTTATATTTCTAAAGTTTGTTTTGTAAGCACTGCTGTAATATTTGAGATTCTTTTTCAGATGGCATCTCTTGCAACATATTTTGGGCTTGGCCAGCAGACACATAGGTAATTTGCCTCTCCATTAAAATCTATTGAGTTCTATTATATCTCTTCTTTACAGCATTAACTTGCCTACTCGCATCACTTTCTCTGTCAAGGCCTGGTTAGAATTGTATTAATGTATGCTATTAATATTTATGTGCATGTACTTATAGCTTGATGAAGTGTTTGTAGTTTCTCTACTTTCTATTCTGCAATATATGACAAGGTTTGCTCTATACTTCAGAAATTGGGCTGGCCCCATTTTTCCTTCTAAAATATATTAAATTTCATATTGTGAGCCTTATAGCATTTATTTTAGAGCTGTTTCTTCTATTCTGAGTATATTGATCCAAGCACTTTTACCCCAATTCACTGTATAAATAAAAATTCTAATGTTCTCTCTTGTCATCTTGCTTGTATCATACAATTTTACTTTTGACGAATAATATTTCGACACTTTTCAGGAGTTTGGATGATGTTCGCATGAATCTTGAAGTTCTCAAGTACTGTGCAACTGTCCTATTTTTGGTACACTACCTTGTAACTTCCGTATATAGATTCAATTCTGTTTATGCGAACTGCACTTTATCATCTTTTTAGTCCCAGACTTCCTTGCTATGTTTGTACCATAAATTTACCGTTAAATCTTAATATGTTTTTATTAAATTCATGTTATATTAATTCTCCGTGCAGGAATCTAGCCTTCCGGATATTTTCACGGAGAACAGTTGGGTTTCTCCAAATGCAACCACAAGAAGCCGAAGCAATGGAAAACCTTCTCGAGAGCCAAACATGATGACATCATCATCATCATCTTCGTCAAGTGTCGATGCCCAAAATTGTTCTACAGAGGCAAATCATCTTATACCACCATCAATCACAACACCTAAAACCAACAAAGTAAATTCGCCACAGATCGATTCAAATCCTCCGAGCGTGGGTCCGTTCAATCTGACGGATCTTCTCGTTCAAATGAACGAGGAGCTTCTTCCAGAGAGAAACGACTTGGCGGCATCTCGCGAATCCTCAAATGCGGTAAATTGTGAGCATCAAAATGACTTCTTGGAACCTGATGATGTATCGATATCTCTTATATCTGTAGCTCTTGTCCCATTTTACCGTGGAACTCAAAAGATACAGATATTGCACCAAAATGGCCCATTGCTACTAGGTTGTGCGTGCCTGAAGGTCCGGTTTGGGATCAATACTAAGTTTGTCGATAGTTCTGGTCGGCCTCGATTGAATTTTGTGGTCGATGCTTCCCCGAGCTTGTGCAAGGTTCTTGATGCAGCCGATGCTCTTGCCCAGAAGATGTCGATCGATTCCGGTAGCTCGTCTGAGTGGCGGCCGGTGATTACAAGGAAGAAGGGCTTCTTCTACAACTCCCCCACAGTTCGGTTGCAGTAAGTTTCTCTTTATTTATAATTTACTTTCCTTTGTTTGGTAAAGCTAGCTTAGCATATTATAGCTTATAAGTGATACTGTTAGCTTATATAATAAAAGTGTATGGTAAAACTAGTTGATAGTTGATAAGCTAGTTTATAGCTTACAAGTGATCTTCGAGCTTACTTAAATTTCGAGCTTACTTAAATTGTTAGCTTATATGATATAAGTGTTTGGTAAAATTAGCTGATAAGGTAGCTGATAGTTAATAAGCTAGTTTATAGCTTATAAGTGATTTTCGAGCTTACTTATAGCGGAACTGCTTTATGTGATAAATGGTAAAGTTAGCTGATAAGTTAGTTTATTGTTTATAAGTGATTTTCGAGTTTACTTATAGCTGAATTGCTAGCTTATAGCTTATATGATAAAAGTGTGTGGTAAAATTAACGAATAAGCTAGTTAAAAAAAAATAAATAAATTCAGCGAGCTTAGTGGAAAAGCTACCCAACGAAGCTAATAATGAGATAAGCTCGAAGTTTTTAAAAAGGCTCTACCAAACGAAATTTATTTGAATACAATAAGTTTATAAGCTAAACCAAGTAAGCTATAAGCTAGCTTTATTTGGTTACCAACCATAGCCATAATTCCCAAAAATGAGTTCTGTTCTTACTATATACGAGATGATAGTATTATTGTATGGGCTCGGTAAAAAATGTAAGATTCACTTTTTACAGTGTTACTGCCTTTTAAATGCTGCAGCTTACCGACTGCAGCCGATGGTGAAATCACCCGATGCATGACTGAAATTTACCAAACGGATAATTCGGCTATACATAAGCTTGTGTTTAGTAGATTTGACGTGACTGAGCTCGAGTCTTTATTCATTCCTGGAAAAACCGTGGACACGTGTTTTTCACTTGACGTATATGATTATCAGCAGAACTCGGGCATCCGCTTGATTGCAAAGAAACTTACGATACATTCGAGCTGAAAACGAATGGATGTTTTAGTTGTGGACTCACTTGGGATATAACTTGTTCTTGGTTTTGTTGTAAGAGAATGAAAAGTCTGATTTATTATTAACCTTTTAATTTAATTTGGTGCTGTTATATGATCAAATTGATAGGCAGTGTTTATTCTTTTCTGGGACAAGCTGTTGTGTTCAAAGCTCTGTTGACTGTTGAAATGTTCTTTTTTAGTTTGAATCATTGTTATTATAACTTTATGAGACAGATAAAAATGAAATAAAATATGAAAACAATACAAAATAATTTCACAATTAAGTAATTAATTTTAGTCATCTTATGTTAAACTTTTTTAAGTTCACATTGATGTTTAATGAAGATCACACAATTGGGACATGTCACATATATCTTATGAACTTGTTTAGTTCAAGCTGTCCAAAATTTCTAAACATTTTATTTTATTTTTTAACAAAATATTAAACCAAAACTACATAACATTTTCGTTCATAAATTGTTAATCTGAGTTTGAGCCATATAGTTCATTTTCGAACTCTTGCTTGTTTCATAAACAAGTTGGCTCTACTCGATTGAATCTCAGGTTGAGCTTGACTCGACAAATAAACTCGAAACTTCAAATGATTAGTTCGTGAAAAGGCTCGGCTCATTTTGTCGATTAGCTGTTTGATCATGGTTAGTTGTTTGGCATTGTTTAATTAAATAAGCAAGCCGGATTTTGAGTTTCGACGACCAGGGTTCACGAGTTCGAACGATATTTTTAAAAAAATATATAAATTGAAAAAGACAGAAAAAAAAAAAAATTGTGGGGCACAAATTTTGGGACCACCACATGAAGTGAATCAATTTCGATTCATCTCAACAATTTTGAACCCTTTTTTTTCCTTTAGATCTTTGTGCTGACGTGGCCGCCCCTCCATCTCTAACGAACTATCTTCCGCGCTTTTGCTCTTTTTGCTCTCCCTCCCGCTGCCTTCCACGTCACCCCTTTCTCTAACGTGCGCGCCCCATCTCCACCGTCGGCCCACGAGGATCTGGACGGTCAGGATCCAGATACGTGGCTCGCGCACGTTAGCGCCCACCACCCAAAAGCGTCGTTGATAAAAATATCTCAGCTAGCTTTGCAACTGTTCCGAGCTCTCTCTCTCTCTCTCTCTCTCTCTCTCTCTCTCCTTTTTTGGCTTTTTACTGCAAAAAGCTCGACGATCTTTGGAAGATTTTCACTGTCCTCCCCAAAATAGTAGTAGTCTATATGCGTGCGTGTATCTGCGGATTGATCGGCTCGGCTCGGGCCGGCCCGGCCTGTGCTAACGTACGCTGGATCGGGTGAGGCTCCTGCGTTGTACCTCTTCCCCAGCTCGCATGTGAAGTTATTGAGTGTTCTTCATCTCTTAGAAGAATCTGGTTGATGGGTTTTGTGTTGGGATTGGTAATCTGTTAAAAAAAAATAATAATAATGGGTGCTTTTGACTGGGTTTTTTTTTTATGTCGAAGGAGGGAAGTTTTTGCACACCATAACCTTCTGATGATTATGAATCGCGTGAGGTGCATAATGGGGTTTCTGTAGTTGTTGATTTTCTGTGGGGGAGGTGGTTGATTGGAACCCTAATTTTGCAATTGTAGCTGTTT